GGACAGTCCTGGTTCATTCCTGTTTCCCTAGCTTCCAATTTCATAATACCCCTTCTTCTCAAATAAGTTAGGATAAAAATGGTATGGCCATCCAAATTCTATGTAACTCCTAATCATCTACAAAGATTTATAAATGTTTGGAGTGGGTGCTGTTTTTTATTTAATACATGATATGTGGGGCAGAGGGGAGAACCACTGCACCAGTCACCGGTAGTTTTCTCCTATAAAGGGCCTTTCCAATAAAATGAAACCCAAAACTCAAATAATCTTTGAAAGGGTCTCCAGCACCACTATTCCCTCTAATCTTTTTTAATGTACTGAGGTTCAATATGAAATTTTCTTCGGGGAAAACAAAAAGAAGAGCCATACCTTAAGCAGGTTTAAAACCACAAGATTACCAAAACTCTCTAGCCTCTGCCTATTTTTAAATTATTTCATGTTATGCTTTACCCTATAACAATTCTGACTACACTGTTGAAATAGTTGTCTTTTTAAAGAATGTTTCAGTCTTGTTTCTGGCACAAACAATTGTACTTTTTCAAGGTTATATTTACTCTTTTAGAGGAAAAGAGAAAGTAAAAGTTAAATTTTTTTTTTAGGCTTCCAATTCATCCAGAGTTAGCCCTTGACATGCTGCTACAGGACTGGTGCTAAAACAGCCAATTCTTTCAAGAGAAGTATAAATTCAGTTTATTTGAAAAAATCATTGGCCTAGACAGCACAGATATCAGCTATGAGCTCAAGAGGAAGATGCAGATACTATGATGGAGAAAGTTTAAAAAGTTACCTGGATGCCCAAATAGAAGATGAGAAGGGCACGTATCAAAATGCCAAGAGCAGTTCTTCACTTTCAGATGGTTTTAACCGTTTTCCTTTTTATCCAGCCTTTGGATTGTTCTACCGTGTTCATAGCTTATTTCTTACATGAAAAAGTGACCAAGATAAGAATCACCATGCTGCCCACCGACAAGTCATTCGCCAGGACGGGGAGATGGAAAGGAACATAGGATAAGCCAGGCCACATCTGGCAGGAACAGAGGCTCAAAGCAGGTCGTGTCCCTGGCAGAACTGGGTCTGGTCCCAAAGCCAGGAGGTTGCGGGAGCACTGCTCACCCTATGCCTTCTCAGGAAATAGGGGCAGGCAGGCATGAGCCCAAGTCTGCACTGCTCTTTCAACTATTAAAAGTATAGCCTTGTGGGGAGAGCCCCACCTGAGCAATCAGATTGCCAGGCTAGGCTCGCTTACTGGGTGTGTGACCTTGAACAAGTCAATTAGCCTCTCTATTCCTGTTTTCTCATCTATAAAATAGAAGTCACACCACCACCTACCTCCTAGTGTGGCTATGAGAATTAAGAGAGATGATTCATGGCCAGGGCCCAGCACACAACAAGATCACAATAAATGTAAGCCATTATTTGGTTCCTGCCATGAAACGCCAGCCCTCAAGCGCACCCCTCCAACCCATGTGACTGGATCTCAAAACAACCAGAGAAGGGCCCCAAAGAATAAAGCCTTTCTTTTCCCTTCTTCTCTGCTGAAGGCAAGACTGAAACATTGGGTTTGCTGTAAGCCCAGTGCCCTGGGGAGCCCAACAGAATATGCAATGTCCTCCAAAGTCCTACGTGATACGCTAGAAATCCTGCTTTCAAAGTTACAGTATTTCTAGTTTCTTGCCATTGTCACAGCTGCCAGTCACTGACTTTGGCAAGGAGATGGGTGACTCAAGTGTGAGCTAGGGCTTGGCATGGGGACACCAAACCAGAAGGCCTCCAGGCAGGAAGCTCTAAAAAGGGCCACCTGCTGAAACAGTTTGTCTCCAGGCAGCCCTCAAGATGGAGGTGGCATTCTGCTGTCACTAGCAAATTCAGATAAGACTCGTGAACATTTCAAAAGGCTAACAGAACTTATCGTTCTAGTTTCATAACTTTGAGAAAAACTATGGGGGAGATGGCTAAAATAAAACTACACACCTAAAATCACTACAGTGCCTTAACTCTATGTCATCAAGAGCAGCTCCCAAAAGTTTAATATCAAGTTGCAAAGAGTTGCACTGCTATCTGGAGCTAAAATGCAATACATTTGTATGTCAATAGAATTTTTCCCAAAAACTTAAAATTACCTCACTTTACCAAAAATATAGACCTCCATGTGTTCATCTGTCAGGAAATAATTACATTATTAGATTAACTACGTAAGGCAAGTATTGTCTAGGTTGCAGAGAACAACCAACTCATCCACGGTGGCCTACAAATTTCTCAGTTTAAGCACTGAAAGTCTCACCTCCAAGAAAACCAGGATGGTTGGTCCCTCTGATGCTACCCAAAAAAAAAAGTGCAAAGAACTCAGAAAAGACAGTTACAAATGCAGAAGTGCTAAACGCCAAGTGTGTTTGTTTGTAGCAATAGCTCCCAGTTCCTTTTCATAGTTAAAAAAAAAAAAAAAAGATGCTAAAAACCACACTTGCCTCTCCCTTCCTCCTTTCTTTCTACTCTCCCAAAACAGTTAGGAAAAGGCCATGCATGAATGTGTCTCTGAGCTATAAACCCAAGAGCCATGGCAAAAAGCAAGACTCCCCTCCAACTTGGGCATTAAACTGATGAGGGGAGAATTAAAAAGTTTTTAAGAGAGCTGGATGGAGAACAAGGCACTGTTCTACAAACTAAGGCAGGGACTCCAGCCAGGTGGCTCCCTACCTGCAATGATGGAGCAAAACTCCATTAGTAGGGAGTTTACACAGAAGGTTTTTAAGCCTCTGGTGAGGTTAAGAATCAGCTTCTAAGAATTTAGTTTCAAACTGAAAAGGTAAGACTATATAAGGCAAGAAACACCACACACTTCCTGGACCTAAAGCCACACAGAAACCATCTTTGCTCATCAATCTGCCCCACCCCATTCAGACCACCTCCTTAACCGGCCTCCCTTTGGCTGTCCCCCAAGACAGGCCGGCAATTCTTACATCCATTTGAATCATAGATTGCCTTAGATTCCTTTTGCGCATCAGGAGGGGGAACCAAAATAAAGTTTATGTGATACTTTCTTCCCCTCCATAGTAATGCCAGTTTGCTGGGAGAAGGAAAGGAAGGTATTCACAAACATTTTAAAAGAGAAACATCCTGGCAAATCCTCATCCAATAAGTCCTGAAGAATAACTTCCTTTCTTTCTAAGATCACGTAATACATTTTCCACTGGTGTTGATCTTGATCTAGGAGAAGTTGCCTTCTTACACCCCTTTCACACCCCTTTCAACACATCCAGTGAGAAAGTGGAGGTGTCTTACAGCCTCTAGCTGGAAGCACCAGAGTGTGGAAGGCAGGAGACAGAAGCTGGTCTCAGGTCTACAGCCAATAGCTATGATCCTCAAGGAAGACATGGTTCACTCTCCAGACCTCTTTTTTCATTGTTAAAATGAAAGATGTGGGCTAAGCTTCCTTCGTAAATGCTATATGAAAATCTTTCATGTATATGATAACAATAACACCTATTAGGAACATTTTTTTTTATACTTTGAAGATGTAGGAAGTAACAGCCAAGTACAGTAGCAGTGTATTGACAATGACAAGACCAAGACAAACTAAAACTGGATTGAAAACAGGCAAATGTCTAACAGTTGGTAAAGTATGTAACCAAAAGGTTGGGGGGAGGGGAGAATCTTAATATCAACTTACACTTTTAAATGTCCTAGATCCCAAGGGAACAGTAAATTCATCCCAACTGCCAGCTGCTCTTGATCAAGTTAAGGATAACATGATTTTAAATTGTGATCTCTCTCCCACCCAGCGCCCCTCCCCCCAAAACACCTGCAAATACTTAGGGAAAACACATCAAAACTTTGAATCTAAAAAGGCAAAAAGGCAAATCAATTTTAAATCATTGTGATGATTGATGGCATTTAAGTAGTAGGATGTTCTGGCTGGATACTAACTGGCAACAGCGAGGCCCCAGATACAAGAGAAGTCTGAGATGTTTAACACCAATGACTGGCAAGTTTGACTGAGTGTGTCAAAGCCAAGTCTGTCCGTCCGCCTACCAGGACCCCAACACAACTTTCATTTCACTATCTATGAATAAACGACAGGAGGAAAAAAAAACAAGCTGCTTCCTTTTTCCTTTTTCGTAGAAGAGGATGCACAGAGTCTTGTCATGCAACTTGGTTGGGTGCCTGTAGTGTCAAAGTCTAAAGAACAGTGGAGTCCCCAAAGGTAGGGAGTTTCCATTCCACAGCCGCGCTACAAGAACTGTCACCGGTTCCGAAAATAACCCCACCTCTCCCGACCGGGACTCCAGGGCTGCCCTGTGTGGTGCCTCCCCAGGAAAGCAACAGCGCTGATGGACACGGGCAGAGGCTCGCCCACCACTCGCGAGTGGAGCCGCCGGGCCAGCCGGATTTCACCTCCTCCTAGGACAGTGGCCAGAGCGCGCCGAGAGTGCCGTCTCGAAGGCTCGCACCACTCACACACTGCTTTGGGGCTACTAAAGAGGAAGTCAAGATGTCATGTCAAGCGGATAAAGCCAGCCCCGCCGCACCAGCGCCGCGGTCTGCGCCTGCCTGGGGAAGGGTCCCTGGCTGCTCCCCCTTCTCGCTCTCCATCCACAGCCGTCCTCCCACCGCCAAGGACCAGCCTCCCCTCGGCCAGCAACGGCTGCGCAGCACCGGAGGGCCAGGGGGGAGCACCTCCAGTCTCCCCTCCCCCTGCCCAGCCCGGGTCAGCGGACGACACCCCGCGCACCCCCGCGCATTAGCGCCCGGGCTGCGCCGCGCGTCCGCCGGCCCCTTCCCCGGCCCGGGGCGCGCCGCGGGCGCGGAGCCCAGCGCGCAGTTCAGGCAGCCCAGGGCGGGGACGGCGCAGGGGCGGAGAGCCCCCGCCGCGTCTCCGGGGCGCCCGGCGGCGGCTCACACTCCTCCCTCGGCCGCGAGTAAACAGCTCGCGGGCGCGCTCCGCGCCGCTCCCCCAGCCCCGCCGGGTCTCCCCGACCCCGCGCCCGCGCGCCCCGCCCCACCTGGTCGGTGAGTTTGAGCACTGCCATTCTTCCGCCGCCGCGCGCACGCACACATGCAGGTCCCCGGCCCGAGGTGTCACGCCGGGAGCCGGGGAGGCGGAAGGGATCGCCGGGGGAAGGGGAAAAATCTGGCTCCCGAATTTGACAGCCCTGCCCCTGCTCCTCCTCCCGCCGCCGCCTCGCGCCGAGAGGCTGACACTGGCCAGTGGGGTGTGCAGCCGAGCCCGCCCGCCTGTGCACAGGAAGTGCCGGCTGCTGCCAGCCCGGCCGCCACTGACATCACCGCGCGCGGCTCCCGCCCGCCCGCCCGCCCGGGCCGACGCTGCCTCCTGCCGCCCGCAGCCGCTCCTCGCAGCGCGCGGCCGCGGGCGCCCGCCGGCACCCGTGGGGCCAGACTGCCGCCTGCTTTCCGCTCCTGCACACTGCGCGCCCGCCAGCCCGCGCCCGCCCCGCCCCGGGGCGCCCCCGCCCCGCCCGTCCCCGGGGCGCACGGTTTGGGGCGCTTCCTCGGGATCCCCCGCACCCCCAGCCCCTCCTCACCCACTTTTGCAACCAGGGACACAGCCCAGTGGGTGAGCTAGCCCGCGTGCACACACCCGGAGGAGAAAAGGGAAGGCTGCCACTCGCAGGCCACCAACTTTGACCTGGGACAGCGGGGCATCACCATGGCCCTACGTCTCGCGCCCTAATCCGGAGTCGGCTTGCCCCACACAGCAGAATTTCCCACCTCGGTCGGGAAGCGTAATTCTGATGTTCTTTGTTTAATGCGGGGGCACCCTGGATACGCTGTGATTAGCTAGTGTTGTGTTAAATTGGGGTGTGGAGGGTAAGGGCTGCAGCTGCTATCCTGCTAAGACCCCATCGTTTAAGTGAAACACCGTGGGCTTTGTTTTTTGGGAGATGGGGTGGAGTTACTGGAGAAGAAACGGGCTTTTGTGTATTTCCACCAGCTCTGATTCATTCATTTCTACGAAATCCATTGATCACACCCTTCAGCAGATTGAAGACTCAGACAGCATGGGGTGCAAATATAATGGTAATGTTCATAAGCATCGTGTTAGTATTTCTCGAATTTGGAGCAAATAAATACTTATTCATTCAACAACTCTGTTCTGAGTTCTCGCCACTTAGTAAGCGCAGTATGAAATGGGGAGCATACACAGGCGAGGTACCTAGTCTTAGGGGGTGCCTGATGCAAACTACACCTAATGAATATAATTATAAAGGGAGATAAGGCATCAAAGGGCGAAAATTGCTTCTGAAGGAATTCATGACAAAGGAATCATACCAGACTAATGGGTGAGGGCAGGCTTCCCTGAGAAAATGATAGGAGTTGAGGTTCTAAAACAAGGAAAAGTTAAGTAAGCAAGTAAGTCGGGGAAGGCGCCCAGGGGACCCCATGGGCCACTGGCAGGCCATAGGGCAAACTTGCAGGCAACACTGAACAGCACTGAATAGTAAACCAAGGCTGGGGGAGGAGGGACAGTCAAGATCAAACATCTGCCCTTCGTTCACATACCAAATGGGGACTTCCCTCCTACCTTTCAGAGCCTCCCAGAAGAGTCCATGTGAAAAAAGGGGAGAAGGCAGTAGTAGTGTTTGTTTAGCATCCTCCCATCTATCATCTGTCCATGGAATTCAGATCATGCTGAGAAGGGGAACAGGAAATACTCTTGGTTTCCACTCCTCTATCATCAATGATGCAGAGACAATTTCTTTTTTCCTCCCCATGGTCTCTCTCAAGCACAAAATAGATTGCTTTAGTTATGAGGCTGTTCTTCGCTGCTGTTGTTGGTTTGTCTATTATCATCCAGCGTGGGTTTGTATGTAAACTGAATATGACACTAAATTTTCTACTTAAATATAGATGCCTCTCAGAAGAGTGATAGCAAATGACTTAATTTGATAAAATGTGCTTGAGATTCATTTTGGTTCATACATGGGCATGCCTACACATAAATTCTGGAGGCCCAGTTTAAAAGTAGGAGGAAGCAGCTCTCCACCCTACAAGATCCATCATCTTCTTTTATAACTAGTTACTAGTTAAAACTAGTATTTTTAACACTCTCCTTACTATTCTCAAATAAAATTCATAGATAATATTACCTACCTGTGCAAATTTCCCCAATCAATACAAAGTCTTAATTGTATAATAAAGGAAAATAAAACAAAGTAATTTATAATTAACATGCATTTCAATAAATAAATGCTGTAGCACATGATTCTATCAGAAGACAAAATAAATAGTAAGCTGCTTGCTCCTGTAGACTTACAGTGAATAAGAGAACTACAAATGCAGACCAACAGGAGTTGTATTAGCAACACAAGTATCAATATTGGTGTTATCATAGGTGACACAATTTTGTGATGACTAATAGGTCAAGTTCTTAACAAAATAAAGAACAAAGGATTGGTGAAATTTATTGATACAGTGCATTTACAGAAAGCCTGGATTTAATGTGTGGGCTTATACATGGAAAGTGACTCTAATCATTTCCTTAGTTGGTTAAATTACACTCAGACACACTGGGGGTCTATATTCAATGAAATCAAGATAACAGAATGTCCCTGGGATATTGTACAGAAATAAATCCTCTTCCCTAAAGAAATGTAGAGGTTTATGGAGATAGACATGTTAGGAGTGATTTTAGCATGTGCAATCTGGACACCCACTCCCAAACTACGCCCTTAGAGGTCCAGATGACAGTGTTTACTTCAAAGCATTGAAAAATACACTGATGAAGGGAGTACCGGAAAGACTCTAAAGTAGTTGAATCTGGTGGTGGAAGATGCTTCCATTAAGGTGGGTCCCTGATTTCTGTTATCGGGATGATAGATGGCAATGGCTAGGTGGTATTGTTTAGCTGGCAGGAACAAGTTGGACTTGTTTACGAAATGGACAGCAGGGACAAAATAGTACTCAAAGATCTTGACCTACGGGGGTATTTGATAATGCCCTAGATGGTTTTGGGAATAAAGTACATGGGTAGACTTCTGAAATCTTCCTTAATCTTTTTTAACAGGCAAAGATCCAGGTTTACTGCCAGAAACCTGACTTGAGCCATCAAAATAAAATGTCATCCTTCTCATCCAGTTTCCACACCTCAAGTAATTCAGACGCAGAGCCATTTGATGGTTCTCTTGAAGATCTTGCTGCATTGTCATACATACTAAACCTAATATGTTTTATTAGGGTGACCTGCACTGGAAAAAAGGGAATATCCAGATATTTCAGAGATTACTAGACACTGTCTCTGAATTAATGCTAACTTCTGGGTCTGCCAATCAAAGTGGGGACTTATGGTAGTCAGGTAATAAATGGAGCTTTCACCCAAGTATAAATTGCCTTGGATCCCATAAGTTTGCAGAGCCATGCTGTGGTTATTGCCTCAGCTCTCGAATACATAATTAGAATAGACATACCCAATAACTGGCGGAACCCCCACATTGCTTCTTCCCACAGAACGAAGGTTATTGTGATAGGGCCAAGTGGAGGCCTCTGGAATTCCTCTTGCTGTCAAGATAGAAAATCAAAAGCAATACACTATCCCTGGAGAGATGTCAAAATTAGTAACACCATAAAAGATCTAGAAGATACAAGAGTGATGATAGAATCCCATCTCTATTTAACTCACCTGTTTGGCCTATGCAGAGGTAGATGGATCTTCATAATTATTCTCTGACTATGAACTGTTGTAAATTTAAGTCACATGGTAATGCCAGTTGCAACTGCAGTTCTATATGTACTATTTTTACTACAGCACACCAGCACAGTCCTAGGCACATGGTAGTCACGTATTAATATGGCAAATGCTTTTTTTATCTATTCCATTTTGCACCAAAACCTGTTTTCCTTTGTATGACAAAGCAGACTTTATACTCTTGTCTGTAGAATGTAAACTTTCCTGCTCTCTGCCACAATCTAGTCTGCAGAGATTTTGATTACTATATTAAAAGCTGATTGGACCCAATAAACAGTAAATATCAAATACTTGAGATGCCTTAAGAAGTCCTGTGAATCCCAACAAAATTCATCCCAACTATTTCTGAAGATCCAGTGATCTAGAAGACATCGGAATGCCCCATCCAAGGTAAAAGATATAATGAGTATAGATTCACCTTCCAATATTTACCACTGAAAATAAAACACAATCCTAGTTGGACTCCTTTGGATTTGGGAAGCAATGTATATACTACACTGAGTATGGTACGGTGCTCTAACCCATCTACCCAATAATACAGAAGGCTGGCATTTTCTATCAGGCAAAAGATAAAAATACTCTGAAGCAGGGTCCTATGAACCAGAGATATTCAATGATACTTGGAGTGTCAGTGGCAAAGGAAGATGTTACATGGAGCCTCTTGGAAACTCTGCTAAGAGAAGCAAAATGCAGATTTCCTTAGTTTTAGAGCAGTCATACCCTCTTCTATAAATAACTAGTCTCCACTTGAGAATAGGTACCAAGTTTGCTACTAAATTTGAATGATTGTTCATGAGACATCAAGTAAGATCCAACCTGCCCATTATGAACTGGGTGTTAATGTCTCCAGAAAGATGTCTGTTTATCTCCACTTCCATCTCCTCAGCCTCCCCCAACTCCCCTGAGTCCACTTCCCTGAATTAATGCTAACAGCCTCTCTGACAAGTTCTTCTCAGCTACATCCTGATAGCCCTTTGTCTTTGGCCCAAAATATACTTTTGTGTCTTAAGCCACCCAAATTTCTACTGATCTCGAGACCATCCAACTGTTTACTTCTCTCTTGGAGGTTTCAATATGACCTCACACTCAAAATGCCCAAAAAATATTAATAATCTTCCCATAAATTAACTCCTTCCCCCTTTTCCCTCATATCAATAAATGATATGGGGATCCAATTTGGTCTAAGAACAATAGCTGAGATTGGTTCTGATCAATTCTGTTTTTTTTTCTATCACTTACCTGTGACTTATCTAATTGTAGTTTCCAGGACCTCGCTTCAGACCAGTCTCAATATTTATCTCCCTTATTGTAACAGCCTCCTAGATGGTTTCCCTGAACCATTCTTTTTAAAATGGACCGATCTTTCTAAAATGCAAGCCTGGTCAAGTAACTTCCTTTCAATGCCTTTGCATTGCCTTCAGGCTATTTACAAACACCTTTGTATGCTCGGTTTTCTAGGTCCTCCCTCTCCCCACCTTCATCTTACAGGGGAGCTGCTTTG